CATAATCGCCTCCAAAATCTGTCTACCACCCATGAATGCATGTTGGCACTCCCCAATAATCTCTCCAATCACCTTAGATAGTCTATTAGTTAAGACTTTTAAAATTATCTTCGTAAATGCAACCCACTAAACTAATGAGTCTAAAATATTTAACATCCTTAGTAGCTCTCTTCTTAGCAATTAAAAAAAGAAAGGTAGTGTTAAGGGATTTCACCAGATTTTCCAAAATCATGAAACTCCCGAAACAATTCCATAACATCATTTTTTTATTAAATGCTAAAAGTCTTGCAAGAATTTGATGTCGAAACCATCTGGGCCTGGTACCTTGTCACCATTACACATATTAAGGCTGTTCTGCACCTCACAATTAGTGAATTCTGCTTCAAGGATCTGCCTACTTTGTCCTGGATAAGAATTTTAAATTTGTATCCCATCCAATCTAGGATGGGCTTCCCCCATACCTCGAAATACAGACCAGAAAAAAACTTCTTGGCAGCATCCGTCATTGCATCATTACCTTCACCCAAAACATTGCATCTTCTTCTATGGCTCACTAAAGCATGAAAATATTTGGTGTTGCAGTCTCCTTCTTTCAACCATATCTTCCTCGATTTTTGTCTCCACGACACCTCGTCCCTACTCATCAGATTTGCCATCTTAACCTTTAAGCCATTTCTCACTGTTCTCTCCATATCATCCAATCTGAAAGTCTCATCTTCAGTATACAACTCAATTAGATCACTAAACAGACTATTGAGTTCCTCCCTTTCTCTTTCCTTTTCATCCTTGGCCCATTTTTTGATCACATCTTTGATAGCCTTCAGTTTGCGAGCAATTCTGAAACTAGCTTTTCCCTGAACAATTATATCTTTCCAATTTTCTTCATCAAAGTTTCTGAAATTTTTCACCCCTAACCATCTGTTATCAAGCCTAAATTAAAAGATAGATGGTTCTATTACTTTGACTTTATCTTGTTAGGACATGATATTGTTAGGTTGGAAGATTTGGGGAATATCATTGACGCCCTAACACAATTGTAAATGTTTTGTATATGGGTGATACCCCCTTTGATACCTTATTAATAACATTTCACCCTTTTTATCTTAAAAAAAAATATTTTTACAAAGTAACAAATTAGGGGGGTGGGGGCAGGGTTGATAGAAAGCCCAATCTCTTCACTAGGCTCATCCTTCTTCTTTGCATCTTCTTAATTCTCTATCACACCTGTAGTTTATAGGGCAAAATATCAACATTTGCAGTTTGCAAGTTGAAGTTGCAGTGGCAAACTTTAGCTTCAAGCCTGCAACCTAATGTGGGCTGGGGATAGCATCTCAAGCCCACTGATTAGACCATGTAATCTTCATTGTTATTATAGGCATAGTTAATTAAAAAAAAAAAGATTGAGATTTAAATTGCAAAAGCTCAATTTTTTAGTTGAGAATTGTGAGTTGCATCAAATCATAAGATTCATGACATAATTTATTAGTTAAAAATTTACTGTCATATATATATATTTATAGAAATATTATTAAACCTAAAACATTTTAAGAAATTTATACTAAAATTATTGACAACTATGAGATACTTGTTCTCAAAGTAATTTATGTAAATATTGTAGCTTATAAGTAAATAAAGCTAAGTCATCCACGTATTTTATTATTTTTAATTTTAATTATGTTTGAGTGAATCGTAAAAATTAAATTAGATTTTGTAATTTACTATTGAATTTTAAGATTTGCTTATCATTCATGATAAGTTGTGATATTTGAATTGTTTTGCTACCATATCAAATTAAATTATATGATTCAAATCATGACTCATAAGATTATAAGAATTAGTGATTGTAGGTAAAGAATTTTGGAACCTATTCACTTTTATAATTTCATAATCAAATTTCCCTAAACACTATTAATCTACTCTAGTAGTAAATATATTTTGGAAGATTACTAGCTTCAGCTCTTGATTATTCATTTAGTATATATGCTTGATGCTGTAGGTTCTGCTATTGGATTTCGATTGGATAGTCTCCTCAAGCTCACTGACACAAGAGCCCGAAACAACAAGATGACTCTCATGCACTATCTTTGTAAGGTGGAATACTTTTAATGCTCAGGATACTGTTCTTGTTATGAATATTTGCCAAATATTTTACTCACTGTCTTGTCAATGGATTTGATAATTTAAGCACTTCAAGGAGGCTGTGTTTTTGTGGAGAAGAGGGTGTGGGAGTTGTGAATTCTTGAGGGTCTGATCTATTTATTATTTTTGCAAATTGCACCAATTAGAATGTTATTCTAAAAATAAATAAATAAATAAATAAATAAAATGTAGTGTAATAGTTTAGATAAAAATTTTAAACAAAGTACCGGCAGGAGCACTATCCATTTCTTGGTCAAGTTTTCTAATCGTTTATTGTACAATCTGAAAAAGTTGTTATCCAACATTTTTCACTACTGTGGTAAACACATATTTAGTCTGTAGCTTTTCACACTTCCAATGTTAGGTACTTGCTGAAAAGCTGCCAGAACTCCTTGATTTCCCAAAAGACCTTGTGAGTCTGGAGGCTGCAACTAAGGTACTCTATCTTGCATGATGCATTTTGAATATTTAATATCTTCTTGTGTGATGAATTCTAAACTAAATGATCAATTGTTTCCATGAAGATACAACTGAAGTATCTGGCTGAGGAGATGCAAGCCATTAGTAAAGGACTGGAGAAAGTTGTTCAAGAATTAACTGCCTCTGAGAATGATGGTCTAGTGTCAGAAATTTTTTGCCAGGTGATTCTATATTCATACATATTGATGAGGTTTCTCATTTTGCACTATTTCATGAACATCTTGCTATCATTAATGTATTCTTTCTTGACAATTCTGTGATGTTTGAGTTTGAGATAAGGGTGGGGGTGGTAGATTAAGGGAAGTTGGATAATCTGATAGAAAAAGTGGGGGGAGGGGGTAGCCCTAAATTGCTTTTCTTGTTATTGCCTGTTAGTTGGCTTTACTAATGGTTTATACTCTTTTGGGAAATGTTCAGACTTTAAAGGAGTTTCTTAGTTTTGCTGAAAGTGAAGTGAGATCATTGGCTTCACTTTATTCTAGTGTGGTATGTATGGAGGCTTTTATTTGGATCCGTTGCTTTTAGACATCTGAGGTGTCATCACCAGATAACTTAGCTTTGATTGTTCTTTTAGGGTAGAAGTGCAGATGCATTGGCTCTTTATTTTGGGGAAGATCCAGCCCGAGTCCCATTTGAGCAAGGTACATTTTCTCTCAGTTGTAAAATAAGGAAGAAGTTCATCTTTCATTTCATGGATTCATCTCAATTTTATTGATTGTCTTGCTAATTAATGTTACTATTTTTTCATTTTCTTCATAAAGCTTATATTTGGTTATTTTAGATAACTCTAATATGGTAAATGCTTTTACATGGTTTTTTTGAGAGAAAGAGAATATTATAGAGAAGACACCAATGGGTTGCCAACCATATGCAAGATAAGGCTTCACATGATGCCAAAAGAAAGCAAAGTCTCTATAAGTTTCCTTTCATCCTCTCCAGAGTTAGAGAGGACCATTGAACAAAATACTCAAAATGTGGAAGCTATAATCTCTAATTCTAGCAAAAGGAGACGTGCCATATGAAACCCTTTTGTTTCTTTTTTTTCAGATAACTTGACTGATAGCCAATAGATTGAGGTAACTGAGCTTGTTCTTCGATTTAAATGCCCTAATAACATTCCACTTCCACAATTCATCTGCAATTGGGTTATAAGTCATCCAAGAAAATTAAGGAGGGACAAA